CCATCCGTTGTCGTATAAACATAGATACGAGTAACTAAAACATAAACCTTCCCAGCGTAGTTTCAAATTCTCTCTATTTTACTACTTCACCATGACGATATTACTGTTTGCAACCATTTGTCCATCAAAACGCTTGGATTGCAATGTCGACTGTGATTTTGTGGTTATTCGATTCAATGAGTCCGTTCGCCACGTTCTGCGTTATGCAATTGCTAACTACTGCATCATCGATATCTCATTTCACGGTTAACGAACAAATGCCTCGCAACCATCACTTCGAAACTTCAACGTTTTGTTCGATGGATCGGCGTTCCGATTGTTGTGATTGATTGAATGTTTTGTAACTATTCGTGTTTGAAAATTACCTTCCTTTTCTCTGGAATTGAATCACAAGGTGGTGTCTGTATCGGAGGCGCTGTTTTCAAATGGGCTATCCGCATTTTATGTCATCAGTTCATATTGCCATTAACAACACACAGTATGCCCACAGGGTGTGGCAATGTGTGACACAAGCAATAATGCGTGTCGTAGTCATAGAGTGTGTGTAATATATTCGCAATATAGCCATGCATGGATGCTCGCTATTGGAGCTAATCTTACTGAACTACGCATCCAATGTGTCTCAAATCATTTCACCGTGTTCTAAATAGCTAAACTGTTAATATATATTAAAATCACCGTTTATTGCACCTGGGGAACGAGACTTCAAAATGTTCCATAACCTGTTAGATCATACATAGTCAGTGGTGGTACATTTCATATTAGAGGTAACATTCCCATGCATGCGTACGTGTCATACAAGGTGTCATTTCCCAAGGCGACTTTTTGGTGGCAACAACGACTCCATTTCAAATGTCATGCATGTACATAACACACCTGAGAAATTCACGATGTACGTGTGAGTGTGTGTCACTCACCCAGTATAACGATTCCCCTATGTTCATAGAATGACAAGATTATTATTCAGAGCGAAAGCCGATTGAACTTTGCTGCAATTCAACATATTCGTGTGCATGTGATTGGTGAATTTCATTGACATTTTTTTTTAATAATGGAATTAAGAGATGCAGATGCAATGATTACATGGAAATACGTTTTGTTTTAATCGTTGTGTTATATCTGGTTGAAATAGCTATATAAAACGCTATATTTCCCGCGGAGGGATACTCCGCGTATTGCGTCTATCACTGTCGATGACACGCTCGTTACAAGAAATGCCATTATCTCGAACCTCCAGCGGGCGCTACATACAGGTGTAAAATCTGTTTAGGCTCGTTCACCGAAAATAAACGAATACGTGTATTAATCAACAGGTGTGGTCGACGCTTCCAAGCGTTAAAACACTGTACATTTAGCATGTATTTAGTTATGAGTGGTGTATGGCCGATTATGATTAGCTACACTTGACTGTAACAATAGGTAATGTTCCGTTCACTGCGAGATCGCACGCAATGCGTGAAAAATGCGGATTGAACGTCTGCCACAAAAATTGAACGATTTACTTTTTAACTTGAATTTCTCATTTTTATAGCTCAATGTCGAAATGCCGATCTTACAGAGAGAAACATGGCGCTGGGATACCCTTATTTTACCAAAATATCAATAACGCTGTTCAAATAACAAATATGATAAGTTATAATGAAACCTGGACAACCCATTTCAGCAATATATATGATAAAGATAAAAGAAAAATAGAAAACAAAATTCAACAAAACCAAAACATGATTATAATATATTTTCTAAATAAAAAAAATATAAAACATCAACTGCAGAAGATGATAATGAAATGTTAAAATAGTGGATAATTTCTGAAAAGCAATAACTTTTGATGAATGTACAGTTTTAGAAAACAAAGGTGTTGGAATTTTCATTTAAAAAACAACAGAAGATAAAATATTGGTAATTTGGGACGGCAGCCATCTTTGATTTCGTTCAAAACAGTACTACAGTGGTCTATTCCATTTAGTTGGTGTGCGAAAGTTCATTGCTGACCTCCCTAAAATTTGACTGGGTCACAGCTACAGGTAACCGTAAATCATTTGCGAAAGTTTTAAATCAGGGCTCAACCATTTGAAATCATGTGGGTGGCTGGAAGATTTGTCAAAACATTGCAAGCAAGACCCCAAGAAAAAGAGAAATGCATGCAAAGTGTTGCAGGGAAAACATGTTGACAGACAAGCCCCCCCCCCCATGATTTATTAGTGATATCAAAGAAAACTTTAACACCTATGAAAATGCTACACGTGATTTGGGGCCTAATCAATTTATTTACTAAAAGACAACATTTTAATTACAACAACAGATCGAATGATGAATATAATTACTTCCGGGATTTTTTCACCACGCATTGAACACGTCAAACATAGGATAAAAATGGGTTCAAAACTCATAAAATCATTTCTATATTTATAATCACTTAACCAAAATTAGCCTTGCCCCGAATAATAATATGTTGATCTCAACTGTGTTTGTACATTCACATATTGGCTTAGAGTACAACAATGTTCATCAGCATAATATCTAATTTGTGATTTGTTGAGGGACTAAGTCACCGTAAACATGATTCAACTACGTCATATCCAGATGAATTAAATAAACCGTGTCTTAAATAGAACAGTTCTAAATGGCACGTAGACATGGCCAACTCGGCACGGTTGCCCACATACCGGTATGTGACGTGAATCTGCAAGTAATATCACGACTACCGGTACAGATACGACCGGGAGATACGACCATATTATCTGACGTGTTGCTTGTTTGAACAGAGTTGCTCATTTTAATACTATATTCTCCGATGATTTAAACATTTCCTGGTACATGTAATTGCACATCTCAGATAGCAATGAGGTTACGACTTCCGATGAATTGTTTAAGTTGTCAAATTCAGGCTATATAAATAAATATATATTATTGTGTCACCGGTTATAGCAGCGACATTGTGTTTGGTTTAAATATACATGCGCGATATGAGGATACATTTCTTTAAAAAAATCGGAATTACAGAAATTCCGCTTTGGCATCACATGTTACATTGAATATATCACTGTTCTAATATATATTGACCAGAAGGCGCAATGACATGAGGAAATGAACCGCTAACTGCTGGCCAAAAAACGAGTGTCGTGGCTCTCATGCTATCAACGCCTAGCCTAGTAACGTATGGCGCTGAGCGCTACAATAATGTTACTCATGATATCTTCTTGTATCCTGTTTGACCTTTGACGCCTCCACCTGAGCAATAAAAACACAACAAATAATTGCGGGAGTGGTACATCGGATGTACGAGAACCTAAATTCCGTTCAGTTGCAACATTTCGTGCATAAGCGTTTAATTAATAAGACATCGTGACTGTTAACAATTGGTTTTATGTAAAAATAGCCATAAAATAAACAGATTCAGATAAAATTAGGCGGGATTGTGTACATGATGTAAATTTTGAATTTCGGAGCAGCATCTATTGCGCATGCGTTTAACGTCACGAGAACGTCAACATTACTTAAGGTACACAGGGCCGATGACCAAGCCCGTATTTTAGAAACCACGCCCATTTTTTGCAAAAACTCGCCCAAACTATACTTGATGATCATTACTGTTCACTGAATCCAGTTATGGGTAACATAGACTCATTTTGTTGTTTAACGTCCACATTAATACATTTTGATTAATGGTTATAATCTTTCTTTTATACAATATTTCAGGCGTGATATATTGCAATAGGAATGCGACGCTAGTGAAACGATCTGTCAGTCAAGCATTGGAGTACATAAACAACGATACATCAATTATTCCGAATGTTCGGTTACTGGGAATACAGAAGTTTTTTGATTCATATCCACTTACAGCCCGTGCAGAAAGTGGTGAGTAAAACAAAGTAGTTACGGGGTTGACTGTGGTCACATGAGTAAACTATAATCCAGGCGGGGATAGGGAGTGCGTATTATCTGCATGGGATTAAATTGACGTATTAGCAAAGTAGTTCGCCAAGACATATTGTAACCCTGTCACCCCGGTAGAAATATTGGTTCACCCATAAAATAGCACATACATTAGATGGATATAAATAACGTCTAATTTACATAAATTAATATCATCGGTACTGAAGAATACTTTTGATGACATGTATATTAATATGCGCATTCATGATTTGATTGGATAATGTGACACGTAGATTTGAGTGCTGCTGGTGGGAAAAGCGTGGACTAATTCTACTACTTAATAATATTTTGTCTCTTTAGCTTGTGATTTAATTTCCGATGGAGTATCTGCTATTATAGTCAGCGATACTTGTAGATCCAGTCTCGACGACATTTTTTATATTACTAATCAAATGGGCATTCCCACCATCATGGCGGATCATAATTTTATCGAAGATATCTCGACGCCGTTCACAATCAGCATGTTTCCAAGCAAACAAGTGTTCACAAAAGCACTCATGGATCTCCTGCTTTACTATAAATGGAAAGACTTTGTGATATTATATGATGATATTTTAGGTAAGTTTAATCACATGATGTCATTATGATAGTAAATGCACCTTTCCAATCCCCATCTCTATTGACGAAGCGCGTCGACGACGTAGATGGGCGAAATGCGTTCATGACGTCAATAAAAACAAATTCTGATATATTGCTATATTGGGTGTACAGGTAATTCTGAGCCGCACACGCACTGGATTTTCATTATTCTATCTAACAAATACCGACATGTTTACTGCCAAACAGTATTATTTCACAACAATGTATGCTCTCATTAATGTTTTATTGAGAAACCAAATCAAACAAAATGTATGTGCGCGCGTGTTCGCGTGCGTGTGCGCGAGCGTGTGCACGTGTGCGTTCGTGTCCGTCTGACTGTGGTATACTAAGAACCGCTAGTCAGATTGTAATTAAACTTGGTACATTGGCTGTTCTGTGACATTGTGTAGATATGACTAGTTTCACGTTAACATAATGCGCATAATAATTACCTGTTTTGCATAATAATATCAGTATCTATCAGTATCTCAAGTGCTAATCATCTTATTTCAATGAATCCTGGTGCATAAATCCTCTAAGACAATGCGACGACCTAATTTGTTTTTGGTTTAAATATTTCAATAATAATTACCTAATTTGCGTATTAATTTTGTAAGAATTAATCATCACATTATAATGCAACTTAGTACAAGTGCCTTGGGATAATGCGCAGATTGGATTGCCTAATATACATAATCATCAAATTTCAATGAAATTCGGTACATAGATGTTCTGGAGTAATCTAATTTGTATTAAAAAGCCAGATTGAAATTGTACTTTGTGGTTGACATTCTGTGGAAAAACAAATCAGACCGCGAACTACAGATGTACAATCAAATTTCTTTTCTGTGAGTAATATAAAATTCAAACTGTGGATCACATTGTTTCACGTTATGCATCTCAAATAGCAGACCTATATTAATTGCCAAGCTTCTTGTATGAAAAGCGAATCTTAAATTTTAAAATGATGTTAAATATGCTTCCAGTACACACAACACACGGGAGTTCTTTCTATGTTTTTGATTTAAAATAAGCATAGAAGCTTATCCAAGCATCTGGTTATAGGGGAAATCTTGTATACTGGGGTTCGTGACTGGAGTTTTCTGCTGCAACATTTGCTGATATGTCGGCGTCTCAGTGAATAACAATGAGCACATGCTTCTTGCAGGATTTGGTGATTTGGAATATTTTTTTATGGAGTCAGGGGACGAGAACTGGAATATTAAAGTGAAGAAAGTGTCCATGTATTCTAGCCCAGACGCTATCATGAAGGTGCTTGTGGATGTGCGAACGTTGGGACTGAGAAACTTCGTAGTGCACTGTCACCACAGTATGATCACAAGAGTACTTATTCCTGTAAGTCGTCAACTGTTTCTCGGTGAATGAGTGAAAGGTCATTTGAAATGCTATGATACTGATCGGAACTCGAATATTAAACAATTATTAACTGAAACTGAGGGGTATAGAAGATATGTCTCCCCGCTGTGACAATTTGTGAATAGTAAAGAGAAAAACGTTTTTGTTTTGTCATCTCAAATCCGGACAGCAACAAAATCGTTTTTGAGGCAATTGTCGCCATGGGACAACGCCCGAGCGTCAAAGTGAAACATATATCAAAATAGGCTTGATTTGGGGTTGATTTTTGACATTTCTAGGAATCAATGGGGAGTCACGCACACAACTCACAAAGCAACTCAATACATATAACAGACATTTTATCTGTATGTTTCAGGCAATGCGATTAGCAATGGTAAATATCCGATACAGCTGGGTATTCACGGACCTGGTGAGTAATAACACTGGCGAAACACTTTATAACTTTGTGTGTATCGCATGAGCTTTAATAATTCGTTACTAATGTATACTTGTTATTTCCAGCAAGCATCTTACGTCGATATCGAAGAGTACCAGTACAGTCAGGTAAACTTGACGATGTTTGCGCTTGGCAAATCGTCTTACAAGGGTCCGTCACCGTATAACTTACCAGAAGAGTGGTATGAAGTACTTAATAAGGAGAATCGTTTACAAGAGATGTTTACCTACGATGCCATCTATGCCTTAGGGCATGCCCTCGATTCGATGGCATTAGATGGACGTACCATACGAACAGAAACCAAGATGTGTGCCGATAAAGAGATAGAGGTGGTCGAAAACGGAGCCAGAATCGTCGAATACATGAAAGAGGTACGAATGATGTAATTTGAGGTTGGGAGTAAAATAATATATCGTTTCTATGGTAACGGCTGTCTGCTCGTAAAACCCGGTTTGTAGCAGTACATTAACTAACAGTCAGTCAAGTCAATATACCGTGTACAGAAAACTTCTCTATTTTTTTTTTCCATTTTGTTTTCGAAATGTACATTCCGAATACAGTAAGGGGCCAAACAATTAAAGTTTTGTGATGGCTGTAAGAGTGTGACCGATGCATTATTTCAAGGTGTTTTGTCTGTACATTTTGATTTTTTCCTAAAATGTGCCACTTTGCCAGCATTTTCCCCTCTCGGTGTCAGTAAATTTTGTTTTACACAAATCTTCCGGTCTATCCACCCCACCATGATATCAAATGGTCGACCCCTATTAAGGTAGCGAGAAGGGAAATTTTCACTTTTTTCTTGATTTTTCAAAAATTGATAAAACGGTTACTTTAGACCTTGATACATCACCCCAAGTTTACAAAAGATCGAAATTGCGTGAACATACAACTAGTATTAACTATTATTACATTCTGAACGACACTTCAAATCTAATAGTTGTATTACACTTGTATCGTGAAAGCAACTGACCTGGGACCTCTTGTTACGTGTTTTGGGTGCTTGTTCTAGATGTGATACTAGCATTCTTTTTTTATTTTAATGAGACAGTTACGTGAAAAAAGCCTAGGTAACTCCTTTTGACAGAGCAGAGAAACGAGGAAATGTTAGTGATTAATTCCAAAAATAACGATATCGGATCCACATCGGTCCACGTCTGGTAAAATTTGACATTCAATTTTTAAAATTAAGTCACGATCATTGAATGAGCTCGGTTTATACCGTATACGTACCGCAAAAGTGTTCCCACAAAAAATATTTTCGACTAAAAACGGCCACATGCCCTGAAAAAATCGAACAGAGCTTGACATGTATGAATAATTTATTGGGCTTAAAAGAAAAACGTGTCAAATTTAGTTATAGCCATAACTATTTGGTG